ACCACGCTGAAATGGATGCAATTGTACTTGTGCTGTATTTATTAGCTACAATAATTTATGCTATGTTGAGATGAACTGAACTGATTATTTATTTTATTTTTTTTTCTTTAATGGGTGAGTTGAAATGGCCCTTCATATGTTGCAGCATGTGTGTGGTTTTGTTAACCCCTGTCCGTGCCTTCCTTCTATGTCTCAAGCAAAATATAAAAATAAAATGTCAAGAGGTGTAGACATACATATATGATCAGTTTGTGTGACGCCTTTCAGGAGAACAGAGTGTGTCCCCATTTGAACATTCAACCTACTAACCAATTGCTATGTGACGTGTAGCTCCATCGCAGTGTTAATTTTAAATCACCCAAATGGAATGGTGTGTGTAGAAGTGTTTTTTGAATTCGCAATTATGTTAACACGTGTGCTCGGTATTGTGCTGGCGGTGTGAAACGGTGAAGGGGGAATAGAAGAGAGTGGCGACGGTGTGCGCTAGCTGTTTGTAGACAGGGCAGATATTCACATGGTGATGAAAACTGATCATCCAAGTTATTGCTAAGTGGGAGGTTTTTCTCGAGGGTGATTATCATGCATTATATATAAACCGGGGAACACCGTCAACATGGTGCTGTGCGTGAGAACACCCAGATGTGTTACCTAGTGATGAAGTTAATGAGGGAACATAACAATATTATTTTATTTATTGTTTTGTGTTTTTGCCCCTGTCGTACTGTCGCCCTTTTTCCTATACGTACAACATAAAATGCGGCTTGGTCTGTACAGTGCAGATTTAGGGTTCACATTATTGGCCCTTATCTGTGGGTGCCACCCGCCCGTTTCTGATAAGATGACAATAAACAGACATGGAACAACGTTGCGAAGATTTTAAGACAAGGCAAAAAAAAAAAAAAAAAAAAAAAAAAATTTATTTACCCACCCTGTCTGGGAAGATGGATGCAGACCTGCCAAACAATACGACCATTGAGTTAGGCGCAAATGGGCCCTATTTATTCTGTGTACAAAGTTTACCAATTTGAAGTGACACGTCCATATTACAAAATGAGTTAGGACTTTTGAATTTTTCAAAATGACTTTACGTAGAAGGCGGTCACTGCGTCCAACTGACCGAGGGCAGCATGGTTGACATCCATTCGGGTGTGACGAAAGGAAAGCAGCAACGGGTACCACAAGGAAGGAGAAGGGAAGAGGAAGGAAACAGCAACGGGTTATCCCCTCACAGATCATTAAAAATGGGGAATCGCTTACATACAATAAGAACGCCTCGCTGCACTGAGTTATTCCACGTACTTGACCATAGCATGGAAAATATTTTGAAGTGGTTGGAAATTGCGGTCGAACTTGGTGCCCGTTGTGGAAATGCCCCATCTGAGTTGGCTCCGACCCAAAAGAATGGTAAGCCTTTTACGTACACATCAGATTAACCCTGCATGCACATGTACACCTGTAAATAACCAGGTGGAGGGCTGAGCAATCCTGTTGATAGTTACATGGTTTGCGTATCCCCTGCCGTTAGTTAATTGGTTATATTGTTATTTCTTTTTTTCTTCGCGCTTTTGTGTTCGCATTTTTTTCTTTTAAGCGTACAAATGGTGGACACACTGGAAAGGGTTTGCTACGCAGGGATATGCAAAGAGGTGTAATAGGGACAGGCCCTCACTTCGTGGCGGGAAAGACTATCCCCCAAACAGCGCCCTTATATGTTGTCACGTTGAGGAAATATCGTATATGGCAATTACACAAAAAAGAAAATTTTTTAAATAAATGGGAAAATGAAAAAAAGAACAAATACAATAAAAGTTTTTTCGTGCTTCATATATGGCTCTTTACAAGTAGCATTGTTTTTTTTTTTTTTTTGTTCTTGTGTGTGTGTGTGTGTGCACGTGCTACTTTTTGGCTTACGCGGAGTCTATCACGCAAAGGCGGATAAAAAAAAGAGAATGCCCATTTGTGTACTGTATATTTTTTTGGCCCAGGTAAATAATTTTTTTCTGTTTTTTGACCAATGTGCGTGTACAATTGTTGTGTTTGCGACATATGGGACCGCTAAAATCTTCCCAATATGCGCGGGGGTAGTGAGCCGTACCCGTGTCATCGTGCACGCTACGCGCATACGTAACGTAAAAGTACCACGCGTATGCAAATGTATGAATGTCATTCGCTTGGGTATACGGCCGAAGCAGTGCGTAATTCCCCGCATGCGTATACGCATGCATACACGTATGGTTATGTGATAAAAATGGCATTTTTCATATTCCTACGCTGGGCGATTTTGTTATTTTTTCATGTTTATTTTATCCTTTTACACCCTTCACCCCTCAGTCCACCTCGCGCGTGTTATCGGCACTTCATCAGCCTCATCGCGCACATTACTCATGACAAAATAGCATACCACGTGAACACATTTTTGCATATGCAAAAAAATACGCCAAAAAAAAAAAAAAAAAAAATGCTGATTTATTTTTCAATCAAAAATGAGCTTACAATTCTGGAAGGAACAAAATGAGCAGAGAAGAAATTATCACTTGCACATGCAACAAATTCGCAATTTTTTCTCGCCCGCGTAGGCATTTTTACATGCCTCCTATTTTATTGCGTGTCCCCTTTTGCTCGCACCTCGCGCCAATGTGCGAGCAGCTTGCGACCGACTGAAAAAAAACTGAGACCAATTGCGACCATTTTGCTCACCTTTGTGTGTGTGTTTTTTTTCCCCGGTTTTGTTCGCATTTCCTGGTCGGACCGTGCTGGCATTTTTTGCTCGGACCCGACCAGCATTTTCTCTCCGACCCCGTTTCCACTTTGTTTCACATTCTGTTTCCGACGTCTGTGCGTTTTTGTGTCCCCATTTGTGTGATTATTTCTGTCCCTCTTTTTATGTGCACACCTGTGTTCCCATGTCCTCCCTTTTTTTTTTGTGCCATTTTCTGGTACCTTTTTCGCCCACATTTCTACCCCGCTTCAAAATTTTTTTCGTTTTCTCACACTTTTTACACTTTGCTTATTTTTCCTTCACCCCTCGAATTGCATACGATATTACGTATTTTTTTTTTTTTTCCTCTTTTTGCTTTCTCTCTTTTTTTTTTTTTTTTTTCACGTGCTGATCACACCCCGTTTCGAGCACGCAATATTTTTTTTTTTTTTCGAGCCAAGTTGGATTGTACGCCAAGTTGGACCTGTACGCCATTTTGTACATCGAGCACTTGTTACGCACAAACAGGTACCTGCCAGGTGTAGTGTACTTTCCGCGTCACGAGTTATAGGCGTATTCCACGCCATGTGCTGCCATGTTACTTTTTTTTTTTTCTCATGTAATCCACATTTTGTAATTGTAATTTTTACACGATTCGCATTTTTTGAAGTGAACACATTTTGTATTTTTCTTTTTTCTTCCCCCTTTTTGTGTCCGCCGTGATTTCCTTTTTTTGTTTTTTTTTTTTTTTCAAGAAGGAATTTTATCACTGGCCGGGATTTTTTTTGAACATGTTAAAGGACGGAGAAAAAACACAAGCAACAAGCTGATGTGCCATAAATAGTACAAATATAACTGCTGTGAAAGCAGCCATGTTAACCGTCGTGGCATACACAAGTAAATGGCCGCGGAATATTGAGCTGACGACAACCCAACTGTGATTCATTTACACCATCGCAACTTAAAAAAAAAACAAAAAAAAAACACCAAGGGGGAGGTAAAAAAAAAAAAAAAATACCTTATATACTAACCCACAATCCCCCCATTTTGACATGAAAACATAAAAAAACGAATGACCCACCCCAAAATGAGTTCTGTTCAAGGCTCGAGTGTGCACACAGTGCTATGTAGGAATAAAATGAAGGTTGTGTTTGACCATGGTGTCACATGTGGAGGTGTAATTAAAGGTACAACACAAATGGACAAGACGCAAAATGCAGAGTGGGACGTACAGAACTACGCTTGCCACGTGCCAGTGAAAAATGGACCTTGCTTTGGCCACAATGCAAAAGTGTTCCTCCTTGTTATGCGACACCTATATAAAACGCATGACCATCAGGATGCCATCCATGGTGCCATGAAGAAAACTAACTTTTTTAGCAATATGAAGTGCGCAGTTCTTCTGTTACTCGTGTTATATAAGAATAGGAAGAAAGCTAGCCTTGTGGCGCACCTTGCGGTGAATTCGGGTTCCCCACGAGGCGTCCTGTCTCACGGGGAACACACATACAATACAGGTGCTGCCTGCGGCCATGATGGGGCGGAGCAGGCAGCCGAGAGGGGCAGTGATGGCGATGACGAGACAGGTATCTACCTCGATGTGCATTCCACAGGAAGGACCGCTTCCCCACCCACGCCAAAAAAAAATATACTCTTTTTAAAAAGAAGCGGACATAGTGCCATGTTCCCATTTTGTAAAAATGTCAACTGCGTAAAGGTGAAAAAAAAAAAAGGCTATCACAACAGATTCAAAAGAAAGGGAAATGTTCATGCGAACTTTCATCGGACGAGCAGCTTCAAATGGTCTTGCCGTTCGCCTAATGCTTCTGACCTGACTGAAAGTGAGCAGTTGTTACACTCGGCACACTTGCACCCGCTTGCGGAAACGAAGAATTGTTCCATGCGAAGAATCACTATCGTGAAGACATCCCTCGCCAACGTGCACCTCCCGACGCGCAGGTCCATCCCCAGCACAAGTGTTAACCATAAAAAAACGAGTAACAAATGTAAAGTCAGTTCTTTGTGGAGGTCACGTGACTTACGCTGCGCAAGACATGCCTGCCAAGGGAACAAAGGCATAATTCGTTCCTGCACCCCTATTAATGTTTTAAACGATTGTAAGGACAATGAGACGAAGGTGTTATGTCCCCACATGAATAGCAACAACATAAGTGAAGCAGCATATAACACAAATGATGGAGTCATCCTTTCACGTTATTCACTTTTCCATGTCAACGGGTATGATCCACAAATTACACCCAAATGTGAAGCACTAATTTTTAAAGCAAAGGAGTGTAGGAATGTTCCTTTTCTTTTTCCTTCATCTACCTTCGCACAGGTAGTAGGCAATAAAAAAATATTTGTCACTGTGGGAAAGGGTCACATGATTAACAGCTGCGGTAAAGCCAACTGGTGCAGAGGTGAGAGCCGCTTGGAAAAGACCCCCCTTTTGTATTTGCATATGATTAATTGGGTTGCAGCCAACAGGGTAGCCATCATGGGGTTGATAGCCGAAGGAATATTCTGTGATGTTATCACATTGCTGTTCCAAGTTACCATCATTACCGTAGCACGAATGGCAGCCGTAATGGGCGTCATTGTATTCTCCGTCGCAATTGCGCTGAGCGAGATTCTAATATATACCCAACTGTGCGCCCATATGATGGCATCCCTATTGGAGAAGCGGCCACCATTAATCATCAGACAAAGCAAGTGCAGTGAAGCCACGACCCCATCGCAGAGATGCATGTCTACGCACAAATGTAACATATATAACTTGTCGCTTAAACATTGCACAACGGGTCCGGTAACTTCCTCCCACAGTACACGCGCCCTCATATCATTCTCAAGTAGTACCTTGTCTAAAAAGGAATGTGACATATGGAAGGTCGGTTGCCCTTCAGTAGAAAGTTCACCATCTTGTAATTTGCAAGCGGCAGAAAACAAGTCACTCCTAGCAGTGCATGTTGGGGGGGAGCATCATGGCGGATTGAACATTACCGCAGTTGATATACCGAGAGACAGAATTAAACAGCCCGCGTGTATATTTTGTCCCCCTTGTAACGCAACGAATGAATTTTGGAAAAGGCACCAGTGCTTGATGTTTGCGGCGTGTCTCCCTATTGTTCATGTCTGCGATAGAAGCGAAAACCGCAAGAGCAGACACCGCCCAAGTGGCCACGCCGCTTTGCCATTTTTCCCATTGATGACCAGCTCAAGTGATTATTTTTGTCCATACAGTAATGAAGCAATAAATGCAACTCGCACTTGTTTTACTTATCGTTTATGCTTTGTGTGCATCCCCCTTAGGGAGTTTAGCTCTTGTTATGAATTTCACCATGTGCTAATTTTTCATAACGCACAGTTGTTCAAAGGTGTGTGCCTCATGTTAGCCGAGTTGATTATTGCCCTTTTTTTTGTAATTCATGTGATGTCCGTCCGATTATGTACCTCTATGATAGCGATTTTGAATGAAGAAGGCGATGCAAGGTTAAGCATGTTTTTTTTGAACAAGAAGGCATCAACCAGAGTGCTCACCTGCGTAGTTTCTTCCCGTTTTATCCATTTATTGGACAAATATTTCAAAGCACATTTGCGTGCATCGCTTATTTTTTACCTGAACGGTGCAGGTACATTTGGCAGAAAAAATGACACCAAAAATTGCAGCAACAAGGACTGTGATTATGCTACCACCGAATTATTCCGATGTTTGTACTATTACGCACCTATGATGATTGCCCGCTTTTTGTTTAATTCAGGAATGAGTAATACGTTTTGTGTGTCCTCGGATGAGGATGAAATCAGTGAGAACACAGACACCCCGACGTTATTGTCCATCGTGGGTAAACCTCGAACGGGTCATAACCATTTGTGGAAATATAACTTAGGTAGAGGGGACCCCCACGTATGTAGCAACCCAGTTGGGGACAGCGAATGGGGCGGCAATAACAACGATGGTGCAGACGGTGGTGATTGTCCTACAGCAGGAAATTCTAATGAAGGAGGTAATCACCCTCAAGAAGTTAATAATAACCTCAATGGTAATGGTAACCAAGGAGGTGACACAGGAGATAAGGATGACCGAGATGGAAATGACAACAATGAGGATCAGGGAGGAGGTTTCCCCGAGGGAGAGGAACAAGATGAGAATGTTCTGATGGATGCTCAAAATGGGAAAACGAAAAAGAAACGAAAAAAAACATTAAACGACAAAAGTAGGAATATTAATAAAGCCACTACTGGAAGGAAAAGTAGAACAAAAACGGATACCCCAAATGATAAGCAGGACGAGAATAACATGGCTGCAGGAAACTATGGTAGTGTGCATAACATGAAGCAGTTGCACAAATTTGGAGGCATGAATAGCGTTGCTGGTGTGAACAACATGGGTAGCATGCACAATGGCTCCTTCCTTTATAATAACCAAGTGTCAGATAAAATTATGCATGACGGTATGGGTAAGATGACTATGAAATCGGGGGGTGGGTACCCCAGTAGGATGGGTGGCGATGCGAACTTTCAGATGGGCGGTCATGTTGGCGGCCACGTAGGTGCACACAGCGGTGGCCATGCGGTAGGCCAGATGCACAACGGAAATATGAACATGTACTTGAATAACACCGGGAGCATGCAGTACATGCCACCTTATGCCAATTCTAACAACCCTGTTGGAATGAGTTTGAGCAGCGGGGTGGCAGGATCGGCGAATGGTTCTCTGGGTAACCATGCGAATAGCAGCGGCCAGGGTAGCAGCTCGATGCATGGTCAGATGAAGCACCTGAACAGTGGCTTCCGAAACAGTGTGATGAAAAACAACTCCAGTCAGATGAGCCGCATGATGATCAGCCCCCTCAGTCCACAGCTAGCGCACAGCGGCGTAAATAGCGGTGTACATAGCGCCGTAAACAGCGGTGCAGGTAATAACATGGGTAACTACGGGATGCACTTTAACCAGCAACAGGGAAGTATTGCCAATGGGCATGTGGGCAATAAGGTCAGTTACCACATGAATGGTCAGACGGGAGTTGGGTGCGCGGTGCAGAGTGGAATGAGCAACGCAGGAAGCAACAGCTTTGTGCACCACCCGAACAACCATATTGGAAGCGTGCCAAATAGCCTCTCTAGTTCAGTAAGCAGCAGCGCCAACATGCATATGGAGGACTCAAATGCAAGTGGCAGCAATCATAAGGGGCACATGAATGTGCACCCGCGAGGCAACACAAGGAGCACGTGTTCGATGAGTAGCCAATTGGGGGGTCTCCAGGGCGGAAAGCCGGGGGCGCACATTAATGGGCCAATGCATAGTGCGGGGAGCGGCCACATGAGCAATCAGATGGGCGCACATGCGATGAGTCAGACGAGTGGGCCATTGATGAGTCAGACGAGTGGGCCATTGATGAGTCAGACGAGTGGGCCATTGATGAGTCAGACGAGTGGGCCATTGATGAGTCAGACAAGTGGGCCATTGATGAGTCAGACGAGCGGATCACTGATGAGCCAGACGAGCGCGCACTCGAACAAAGTGCTCACCAATGCAATAAGCATGAACAAGTTGAACAACAGCAAGAACACCAAAAGCGGAAATGCAAGTTTGAGCATGAACAGCCATATGATGAACCCAATGGCCAGCTACATGGGCCCCAACATGGGCTCAAACATGGGTCGAAATTCTGTGACAAAAAATATAACTGGAAACACACAGGACGGAATGAACAATGGGAAAATGCAGGACACTGTTATGAATAGCAGTGTGTATAGGAGCAACAGTCTTTTGAGGGACACTCTGATGGGTAGCAACAAGGCCGGTCCAGGTGGCGCTATGCAAAACCAGATGATGAAGAACGCGATGATGAAAAATGAAATGAGGAATAATAGCACTTATATGGTCGGTATGGTGAACGACAATTTGGTCCACACGAACATGGGCATGGGTGTGCGTGGTAGCTTCCGTCCCATGAATAGCCTCCCCGTATATAACAATGGAACCGCCATGAAATTTGCAGGACAGAGATACAGCATGAGTACAATGGTGCCCAACAGCACCGGACCAACAGCAGCAGCCGCTGCAGCAGCGGGAGGCATGATGATGATGAACAGGGAGATGAACGAAATGGGTAGCACCCCCGGAATGATGAATTATATAAGTGGTAACAACTTTATAAATAAGAATATGAAAGGTGTGAAAATGGAGCACACATACCCCTTTGAGCAGATGAACATGAGGAATGATCAACTGCATCACGTAGAGGTCCATCAGACAAACATGGGACATATGAGTGTAAATAATTCAAAAATGTATCTTAGCAATGTACAAGTAGGGAATGATAAAATAAGTGGCGGTAATTTTCTTCAAGGAGAAAGTAATCAGTTCTATTCGTATGGAAGCGGACCAAATGATACATGCGGAGGTACCGTGCATAAGAGTGACATGAATGGAGTAGCGAATGCCAATGTATGTGGAACTACGAAGGATGTAGGAAGTGTGAGTAGCAATAAACAGAATACAGTACTCAATAGTAAGAAAAAAAGCAAAAATAATTTGAAGAATGGGAGGGAGCACGAAATGAATAACAGCCAGAATTTAAGGACTGTAAAAATTAACTGGAGTAAATATGATAGCATTTTTAAAAAAATAAAATTAGAAAAGGATTACGAAAAATTTATCAACACAGATAAGGAGGACGCGGAGAAGAAGAGGAAGAATAACATGTCAGATGCAGATACGGACGACAAATCAGATTGGGAGCAGAATCCTGCCCCAGGATTTAATGACCTGTTGAATATTAACTTTAGGTCTTTCATTCATGATTATAATGAAATACTGAATAAGTTAAACTCCATAAGAGTGAATGATAAAAGTGAGTTCAAGAAAAATGCCTACACACAATTGTATGAAGAAATTTTTTTAAACATTGAACGCTTTTTTGACATTTCCCAATTAAGACATGAAAATAATTTTACGCATTCCAATTTTTATAAGAACACCCTTGATCGTGTCAGCGAAGGAGACATGCTTCTCGCCAATGGCAGTGGGAGCGATGGATATGAAGGGGCGGGCGTGACATCGACCGAAGTAGCAGTAGTGAACCAGAATGCAGCATCTGCAAGTGTAGGCAATTTGGCCCATAAGACCGGTAAGGCTAAGGTCAACAGAGGAGTAAAATCACAATGTACTGACCCAGAGAAGGGAACTCATACTCATGACGGTGAAGATGATATTATGAACAAGGGAAAGACGAACTTCTTCCAAAGTGTGTCTCGCAGTGCAGGGAATAATTCCCTCTTCGAAATGTTATTAAAAAAAAAAAAAGAGTTTGACGAAATTTGCATGCTGCATAATTTTGACTCGGCTATGGCGAATGGGGAAGTGGCCTTCCCGAACGATACGAGTGGTAGAAATGTAACTCCCATGGATAGAAGTCTTGCCTCTGTGGAGAAGAAATTCACTTCCAGCAGTTTTCAAGGCTCTCCTGCGAAGAATAAAATGGGTACGTCCGTGCCAGACTACAAAACTGGTGTTACCCATGTTGGCAGCGGCAACGTTAGGTACCCACATGAGAACAACCCAGGGACGAACAAAAAGGGAGGGAGCGAAATAAAAAACGCAGCGTACCAAAATCACTTCATTGAAAAAATATTATCAAAAAGGTACAGGACTTATTCCATTAACGAATTTGTAAATGTGCAGCTGAACGACAACCTTCTGGAGCTCATCGACATGTACAAGCAGAACCTCTGTTTTAACATCAGGAAGATGTTGAAGAAAAAAATCAGCCACGAGAGGAAGGGACGCTTTGATTGGCATTATGGCGTTAAGCGGGTGAGCAGAATCGGAAGAAAGACGCGTACAGGAAAGAGAAGAGAATTACTCACGGGAAGGGGAAAAAAGAAAAAAAAAAAAATAATGGGAAAGGGCAAAGAGTTTCCTAGCACAACGTTGAAGATGATGGGCATGATAAATAGCAGTGATGAGTTGGCATGTGCAGAAGCAGCACGAAGTACCCACTTGGGAGATCATCACCCCGTTACAGAAGGGAAGAACGCCTCCGGGGAAAATTTAGAAAAACCGCTTTTTTTCTTCTCATCAGGAAATTTTAGAAAGAGAAAGAAAAACGATCAGGATGGTTCTGCTAATGTCGGCGATGGTATTGGTACAGAAGAGGGGGAGAGGAGAAATGTTGAAGAGTTGTCTCCAGGTAGGAAGTGCGAGGAGGAGCAGCGGAAGGATGGTGGTGGAGGAGATGCGAATGACAACGTCGATGCTGGAATAAACAAATTCGTGAACAAGCTATCCTTTGGGCTCTTCCAAACGAAGCTCAAGTCCCCACAGAAGAACGAAGGCGAAATGAAAAATAGGAGCGACAGTACAGTGGACCACTGCACGATGGAAAACCATGGAGACATTAGTCTTTATATAGAAAAAAATGTCACACAGAAAAAATCGCCACGAACGAGTGCAGCCTTCATGCTGGCATCAAAAATGGAGTGCACCAATTTGTCAATTAGCAGAATGCAAAAAAGATTATTCGATGAAAGGAGAAAGATAAAATTGAACAAGCAAAGAAAAATGAGGAATCTCAAGTACAAAACAAATGCAATAATCGACTTTGGTGATAAAATCGTCTGGGTGTCTTTCGAATTTAACCACCTAGACACGCTGCGGAAGATTAAAAATAATTTTTTCAATTTGTACAATTTGAGTCAACTAGAGAAAACGAAAGATTCGGACATCAACTTGGAGAAGTGCATTACCAATGAAATGAAAAAATACAAAAATGTAAAAATCAGATTTTATAAATTCCTCAGTTATTACGACTTTGTGTTTTTGAAGAACCGATTGAACTTTATTAAAATTAAGTATAAGAATGGGGTGGCAAGAACTGCAAGAGGGATGACCTTCCCAGGTACTTCCTTGGCGAAGCTGGCCGATATGCAAAGGGACCACCCAGCTGAGATTACTTCTGTAAAGATGCCTGCTGGTGGAGCCATTGTAAGTGACCCAACTGTGGGGAATGTCAAATGCGAAGCGGTACAGAATAGAGACAAGGATGATAGCTCCCCTCAGGATGGGCCCAGTGTGGAACAGGCCAAGAGTGGTGCTGTACTGAGCGATGTGCACCCTGGTGCCGAGTTGGTCAAGAAGGATCACCCGCAGACAGGGGCACTTTTTAGTGAAAAGGGGATAATAAAAGGAGGAGAAGTGAACAGTGGAAATAACAACCCTGTTTTGAAGAGCGAAGGCGGGGAAGAAGCCCAGCACCATGACCAGCAGGAGCCCCTCACGAAGGAGCAACTTCCTACCCCCCTTCATAATAGTCCCTCCATCATTGTCAAAAGTGAGCATCCCAAGAGTGAAGTGATATACCCGTACCTTCCCTTCGCCAAAACAAGAGGTGATGACATTAATCAGATTTTAAATGACGTAAAGAATCTGTACATCGAACCCAATGACCATATGATTAAAAAAAATAAATTAAGGAAAGACATAACACTCTTCCCACTGATCGATAAGAAGAGGTTGAATACTTACATTAGTCTCGATTTGAATGCAGCTGCGAAAGAAGAACTTGTGAAAAATGAACATACCAACAACCATTCAGTGGACAAGGAAATACACATCCTTAATAAATTTTTGAGTACAAATTTGAAACTTGAAAAAATGGAATTTGGAAAAGTCGGCTCAGGAATAAATACGTCAGGTGGAGGAGCAGCAACGACAGGAGCAGCAACAGGAGGAGGAGCAGTTGGCCCAGGAATAATAATAGAAAATTATGACCATGCAAGGAATAATCATATGCATTGTGAGAAATACAATACAGCCAATTCTGTCCTGATTGACAATTACGTCTGGTCCAATAACCCCTCCCTTTTCAGCATCTTCGAAAAATATTATTTGTTGTTAAAAATGCAAAAGTACATTTTACAATATAAGCACTTTTCAAAGAATAGCCTTAAGAGGAAATTAAGTTCAGAGTCCAACTGCGATGTTTATTCGAGTTCGAATTCTTTGAAGGGTTCCTCTAGTGGAAATGTTAAAGGGAGAAGGAGGTATGGGAAGGGGGGTAAGGGTACAAAGAAGGGTGGAGGAGGACGTAGACTCTCTTCATCGAAAGGGGGCAGGCGAGGGGTCGCCGCCATGATGGCATCCGCTAATGATGGAATGGCCGTGGATACGGTTGGTGTGAAGCGAAGGAGAAAGGCTGCAGTTGTTACCACCAGTCAACCATGCAAGGATGTTAGCGATCAAGTAGGGTTTGCGAAGAATGACATGAACGAGCATGGCTTGGTTAGCGGAGAAACGAATGAACACTTGGCAGCAACCCCATTTGTGAAGGTAGAACCGGAGGGCGCATCAACGTGTGTGGATTCGATTCAGAATGAAGGGGGCGGTGAGGTACAAGGTATGTCTGCCCAACGATATAACACGCCCATTGGGGGGACGGGAACCAACGGCAGTGTAGAAGTGCCCCCTGAGCAGATTGACGCATTGTACCCTGCCATGAAGAACAAAGTGGAGGAAGAGGCGAATGCAATGGGGAGAAGCGGTGTGTCTGATGAGGTGCAGGTAGCAAATGGAGAGGCAGTCCCGCAAGATGCTAATACGATAAATGAACAAAGTGTACGTCGGACCTGCAAAAGTGAAAGCAACAGTAGCGGAAGTGTGAAAAGCGCCAAGAGGAACAAGTCGTCGCTGCAAACAAATGTGGCCAAGGGGGAGATGAACTTTATTGGGGTAGTAAAAGATGGAGACGCAGTGGGAGACTCAGACGCAGAGGCAGAATTTGACACCGAGTTGGAAGATGGAAGTGGCAAGAAAAGGAGAGGAAGGAAGAAAGGAAAAAAGAGGGGAAGGAAAAAAGGAGGCAGAAATAAATACAAATTAGAAGAAGATAATATGACGGTAGCAGAAAGTAACAGAACAATGTGGAAAAAACAAAACGGAGAATATGAAAAGTACCAATTGAAAGACAGTAAAAAATTTACAGACCTGATTAACAATGAAGACATGTTAGATGAAATGGATAAGGAAATTCTGGCCAATGAAGTTATTCCAATTGATAAAGACATTATAATAGATCTGCTATGCGAAGAGGAAAAACTAATAGAAAGCTATATTAAGAATTCCAAATTTGTGGACAAGAATTTAATATGCTTTTTAATTTACCTCAATACGGTTCAGAAGAGGCTGAGCTGCATTTCGAACAAATTGCTTAAGAAAGTGATTAGGGAAAATAAAATGCCCGCAAGGATCAGTGAGAATGTAAGTCGCAGTGACGAAATAACTTACAGGTATCTTATGTTTGAGAGATGGAATCAATTAAGGTATTCCGTTTTTTATAATATGAATTATGTTCGTAGTGGTGGTAGTAGGGTCATGCTTCACGACAGTGCTCAATCCGATGGATACAAAAATGTAAATATTCAAACCATTTTTGATTTACACAAATTTTCTGGAAAATACAAAAAGCAAAAATTACCTCCCTTTGAGTATAGCATGTTTCTCAAGTACAAAATTCACAAACAGAGTAAGACATGTGCAAGTGGGCAGGAGGGAGGAGAACGAGGAGGGGAGTGTTCCCCAGGTGGTGAACACACAGAAGGGGTGGAAGAAATGGAAGATGAAGAAACGGTATTTATGAATAATGAAGATAATTTTTGTGGCTTCTCAAACAATACCGATTTGAATATAACCCCAGTGCTGTCCTACTGCTGCGTATGTTTCAACGATGATTATAACACCACGCAGATTAGTGAACAGGGAGATCCTGTACAGAACGTTTCCAGGAACAACTCCATTTCTAACTCGGCCGTAGATGTGAAGAGTGAGAGCATGGATAAGACGCAGCAGGGACAGGGTAGAAGTAGGTCCAACTCGAAGAGAGACGAGGTGGGGGCCTCTGGGGAATTGAAAAAAGATGGGGATCAAAAGGGTGCCCAGGAGGCGACCCAACCACCACAGGAGGGTACTCTACGCAGCATGGGTGGCAGCCAGATTAACAATCCCTCCGGTGAGTGTGAAAAAAAAATTAACAGCACCTGCAGTGGAACGGACACTGCTATTATAGAAAAAAATATCAAGAGCAACCGCAACCTGATGATGCGATGCGGAAGGTGCTACATGCACGTGCACAAGTTTTGTTACATTTCGACCAAGAGGACAGAGGAAAGTAGTTCCACCTACGCACAGGCAACGACTTCCATCAGTTCAAACGAATGGCTTTGTCAGCGATGTGAATTTGAAAAAAAAACCCTGGGTAACAATTACCTGTACCTATTTGACAACCACGTTAAATGTTACATATGCATAGAAAGAGGAGGGGCCTTCATCCAACTTAGGAGTGATATTTTTGTCCATACCTTCTGCGCCATGTTCTGTGTGCCAGATTTGCTCGTCAATGCAAATGTGAATTTGGAAAATGTGGAAGAGTTCCTGAAATTAAATAATGTGTCTTTGACGCAGGAAATTTTGTCATCCTTGGAGAGGAAGAGAAGGAAGCTTTTGCTGAGCGGCGATCGGGCGAAGAAGGGGTTGGCGCAGGATGGACTCCCCTCCGTAACGGGGAATAGCAACTTGATGGATCCATGTACCGAATCGTCACCCCATCCCAGTGCGGTCAACTCACCCGTCAGTAATAATCCCGCACATGTAGCAAAAGGCTCAGACGAGAAGACAGCAGATTGTGTAAATTTGGAAAAGAATGAAGAAGCGAAGGGGAATACGGCTAGCGGAGAAGCTGATGGTGGGGGAGACCCCAACCCTGAAGCGGACACCGAATATGGATTCAGAATCAAATCGATAAGGTCCATTTTTTCGAAGAGTTACTTCTCCAGTCCTAAACACAGTGATAAAAAAAATGCACATGCGACGAGTGGTAATGACAAGGTTGGTGATTTTCCCCCGTCTGAGCAGAAGGAGGATAAGAAGAAGAGGGGGAGTGAAAACGTTAGCCAAGTTGAAAATTTAAAAAAAAAAAAAAAAACAGCGGGGAGTGTAAATGACGAGGTGAATACTTTACATTCGGATAAGGGGGGGACGAACGACACATTGGAGACTGATGGGGACGTGGCTAAAGGTAGTGCCGCCCCGGGTGAAGATAAGGGGAAGGGCAATAACCGTGCTCATCGTGTTGAACAGGGTGATGATGGCATGAGAAGCGGCTTTGATCATAGTAAAGACACGGACTTAGCGCACGGAAAACAGGACGGTGTGCGAATACAATGTGGGGAGCGTTACCTGCACGATGGATACTCCTCCTCCGAGTCATCGTCGTCCATCCTCACCGCGTCTTCCATTCGATCCGACTCGACATTGCTTCCCCAGCATGATGCCAAGAAGGCAGAAGAGGGTGACCACGATGGGGAGGCCACATTACACCGTGCAGGGACGACACAAAAGGAGAAAAACATTCCGACGAAGCAGTTGTCATGCATCCGGTACCTACTGAACGGCTACGGGCAGGATACTGTGCGATGCGACGTCTGTTTGAAGAGCAAAGGAATATTCATCAAATGTGAAAATATAAAATGCGACAAGTACGTGCACCCGCTGTGCGCCTACATGTGTGGGTTGTATATCAGGTGCAAAAATTCCAATAAAAAATTTTTGAAATTTCAGAACAAAATTGATTATTGCTTCCCTCGCATATTTTTCTTCATCAAGTGTATCTCTCACTCTATAAAGAAATGTGGCGTCATTAGAATATATGAGGAGATCATAAAGAGGAGAACCAAGTACCTGAACCGGGATTTGTATCCAAGCATATACGAAAGTAATAAAAAGGAGAGGAAGCAAAAGAATTCCGTAAAATACAAAATTAAAAACAACTGTAGTAATATTAAAAAAGGGGGAAGTATGGCAGGAGGTGTAGGTAATGGACCAGCAGCGATAGCAGCCATTGCAGCTGTTGCAGCAGGAGGACCTGGAGGAGGAACAGGAGATATATATGAAGTTTTAGCTTTTAATTTTAACTACTTAGATTCGTATCAATATAATTTTTTCCTCCTTCCATCAATTGATTATATAAAAAATGACATTTGCCTGGTTTGCTTTACGTCATACAAGAAGAAGGAGCTTCTGTATTGTAAGTATTGTAACATGTGTGTGCATAAGAGTTGCTACCTGGTTGACTCGACCTACCTGGAATACCACTTCTATAGAAAGAACAAAAGGGCGCATACCTTTTTAATGCACACGAAGCAACAGAAGTTGAAGAATTTACTTAGCAGAGTGAAGGAAAGGAAGGAAGCTCTGCTGAATGCCCTGCTACAGGAGAATAACCAACACGCGTATGACGATGTGTCACAGGGGGGAGTTACTGGAATTGTGAAGGAGGACGGAACAACTTGTGGGGAAATTATCCCACGTCATGGCATGATAGATCTTCCTCCACAAGAAGGAACAAGTAGTGGTGACCCCTGCGGAGTAAAAGGTGTGCATGTGGAGGAGCAACTTCTAGAAATGCATAACCATCCGTCTGTAGAAAAATCCCATGTGGACATCCCCCCCGTGAGCAATCACATCATCGCGCCTGAAGGAGGCGAACCAAATTGTGCAGAACAAAGTGGAGTGGCCCCCCCAGGTGAGGGGTCAGCGGGTCACTGGCAACAACATCCACATAACGGTAAAGGAATGAATAGGGAGAAGGAAATGGAAAAGTCAAAACTGTTTAAGGAGTTAATGCAAAACGAAGTTATCACCTGTTTGTACACCCCTGAATATTTACAAAGCACAGACTTTATTAACAAACTGAAGGAGTTTAAAAAGAAGCAAAATGTTATGCAGCTAAGTGAAAATGTGAAGTATAAATGCGAGGAGGAGAAATGCCTGACCGACCTGGATGATGTAGAAGAGAGGAAATTATTTGTATGCGATTTGTGTGCAAATAATTACAATCATGAAAATGTCAATTGTATATTGTGTAGCCGCAGGGGAGGCGCCATCAAATTAATAAAAGTGAATGATCATAACAAGGTAGATAAAAATAAGAATAAGAAAAACGCCTTTTTAAAATCGGAAAAAGATTTTGTATTTGTGCATATGCAATGTGCTTTGTATGCTCCGCAAATTATTATACAGGACATTGGAGAAGAATATTACCAAATGTTTAATTACGATAATTATTCCATGCAAGAGTGTGATGAGGTGTCACAGATGAAAGACAAGGGCTTCAAGTCAGACACGGAAGTGTGTGTTCTGAATAAAGAGTGTGATTATGATGAGAAGCAGAATTTGCTGGGGGAGTTTCTTTACCGCCATGCAGCCGCGCCGACTGTGAACAACAACAAGGGTAAAAACGCTCGCAGGGTGCTCGATAGGAAAAACTCCGCCACTTCTGCGTGTGTAGCGGCCAATGTAGTAGTGGGCGGAGCTGTTGCCGTTGCGAGCACGATCCATGCCACCCCTGCGCAGCATACACTTGCACAGCAGGGAGTAGCTGTAGAGGTGGTAGCGGCTGCCGGGGGAAGCATCCAAATAAAGGAAGAAACGAATGCAGCAGGTGGTTTGGTAGGGAAAGTTGTGCCACCCGTCAGCTGCAATGTCAGGCAGCCGAATGAGATTGGCAAGCTTGCAGAAGGAGAGGGAGACGCGAAGGTGAAAAAGAGCCTAAGTTTTGACATTGAGAAGGGAGGAGCGGATGGAGCAATGGCGCTAACGGAAAATGGGCTGCAGAACACAGCGCTGAATGCAGAGCAGTGTGGCGAGCGCTTGGTTAAGGAGGAGGGCGCACACCCAACCGAGGCGAACAACCTGATGAGCATCGCACAGCAATGTCCCAACGGAACCACAAACAATAACGCCATTCTAAACGAAACAAGCAACACCGCCGCGATCCCTAACACCATTCTAAACGTAACAGACAACAGCGCCGCAAGCAATAACGCCATTCTAAACGTAAGAGACAAGTACGGAAGGAGACTCAAAAAAGGAAAAGAAATTTTATCCTACAATAAATCGAACAGCATGATGGGAGGAGACCCGAAAAAGAGACAAATCGTCCCCTCATCCACACACGTACCATTTTCAAACAAAAAGACGAGCAACTTATACTACTACAATTTCAATAGAAAAAAAAATAATTACAAAATTATAATTAAAGATAAATTAAAAAAACACCTAAATAAAAATGTATGTTATATTTGTAACCTCACTTATGGCTATACACAAAAGTGTGTAGAAAATAATTGCAATAATTATTTTCACATATCCTGTGCAAAAATACACAAGCATTTTTTTGAATTCGATTATACCTTTTTAAAAATTTTCCCAAATGTGATGAGCATGCAGCAAATGTCTAAGCTGTCTAGCTGTTCTGTGGGGACCATCATTTTTTGTGAGGCACATTCTAGAATTAGGAGGAAGGTGAATCCTTCAATTAAATTATTTTCCAAGTTGAGGTCCTTTTTAGAATTGGCGCGGATAATTGTAGGGCAAATGAAAAAAAGGGAGGACATTAAAAATGCCTGGATAAAGGAAAAGCACCAGAGGGACATTACTTCTTTTGAGCATACAGAGGAGGACGTAGATAATCCGGACGAGGGCCAAGACCCGGAGGAAGTAGACGACGTCGACAGTTCCATTTCCATGTCCGATTCGGACGGTGCGGAGGATGGCGGCGATGACGATAGCGATGAAGAGGACGATGATGACTTCTCCGAAGAGGAAGAGGAAGGCAGCATGATGAGTGGAAGCGCCAGGGGGGTGAGCAGAAATGTGCTGTATGCGCCGCAGACGGATGGAGAGGCAAATATGATTTTCCCCCGCACACACACCAATCAGTTTGATGAAGGTGGTGCTGGGGGCGATCGTGGAAGAAGACTGCCCAGTGATGCCTTAGCGATGATGCAGGACAGTGCCCCCGGTAGTAGTGACAACATAGGCAGGCATAGCAGTAGCAGAGGAAGCAGTAGTAGAAGTGGACTAAGCCATAGAAGCAATAACACTAAGAGAGGCCACGCGAAAACCTTAACCAAACACCAACACGTGGAGGACCAGCTCCAAATGAAGGGCCTCCATGATCACCATAAGTTGAGTATGCAAAGTGAGTATACAGAAGTAGCAAATGGGGAGAGGGGTAAAGAGACCGGAAGCGCACAGAGTAATGAGCCCATGGAGGAAGAAATGGAAGATCTGCAGGAAGATGTAGTGGACAAAGTGGGCAGTGATAAGGATGAGGATTACGTGCCGGAGGATGAAGCCGAGGACAGTTAGCGATGTGGAACATGTGCGAATGGTCGAACGTGTTCCAAGTCAGGATCCAAACATATAGCTGATGACGTCGCTCTCCACATAGAAAGCGGGTTGGTCATTCACATGCACACACTTGGTATGCCACTCTACTCATTTACCTCCCTGCATGTGCACAATGGAAGAGACCAAGACTTCTCTAACGCGAGTCTACTAATGGTTCACCAATAAAACCCAGTTGTGAAGTGCCCCTCATGGCACCCTTTTGTGTGTATATATTACATAGGGTGTACATGTGCGCATTTCCTTTTTTTATGTTTTGCACGATTCGCTCCGCGTGTGCCACTTGTTCATTTTAACACCCGGACGCATAGCCGCCAAGGTGAAGTCATATCAACTTTGTTTTTCCCGACATAAATTTCACCAAAAAAAAAAATAAATAAAGTAAAAAATCATTTCACCCTTGTGAAACGCTGATTCTGATTAACTAAAAAAAAAAAAAAAATTAAAAAAACAAATGAACGGCAATAAAGTTATGCTCGTATGAGTGGGTGATACCCTGTAGGGACACATGTATATATGCACCTCGGTGTTTGTATGTGTGTGGGTGTTGGGGGTGTGTGCAAGCGCCCCCCTGGCTACTCCACGTCGGTGTCGTCGTATGTGTCTGAGGCATCCTCGTAGGCCTGTCTGGAGGGCTGCCAGATGTGCAACGTGTTGTCTTCGCTGATGGAGGAGATCATCTGCGTGGGGGGGAAGCAAAAGTGAAGGTGAAAACGATGTGTCCGTTATATGGAGTTTGATAGAAGGGGCAGAGCAGTGTTGTGGCCGTTGGGCCAAATGGAACCGCACGTGAGAACGCCACGCACGCTACGGCTCATCGCGCTCATCGCACTGCAAACATGTGTAACAGTGGAGAACGCACCATGGAGTAGGACGAGTTGAGAGAGTAGTCCAGGATGTTGGAGGCGTGGCTACCATGAATGAAAATAAGTTCAGGGGGACCATCCTGCGAATCCTCGTATGTCTGTTCAATACCAATTTTGTTTGTGTCATAAAAATAAATATATTTATTACTGGACGAGGAGGACAAGATGCCGGGCTGGTATTTGTCCCACTGGAGTTTTATAATTGTTTCCTTATGTGATATGATTCTGTGCAGTGATTTGTTAGTGAATCGAATGTCCCACAAATCAATTTCTTTGTTCGTGCCACCTGTCGCGAAGATATTTTTATTGTGTGGATTCACGTCGATGGAGTTTAAACTGCAGTTGGTAGCTCTGATGGAGCTCACCGCACTCTTGTTCCTAATGTCGTATATGTGTATGTGTCCGTTATCTGACACGGTCAACACATTGTTGTCCTTCCAGCAGCAATCTTGCAGAGGCACATTGTCATTAAAAAATTTTATCAAGGGGTGTATCACTCCTCCTTTGCAATTTTCGCTGTTCGAGCTGGTGATGGTAAAATCACCACCTCCACCACCAGTCGTGCAAATTCCTGCTCCCGCTGCGATTGCGGCGGTTGCTGAGGTTGCTGCGGTTGCTGCGATTGCGGCGCTTGGCGTGCTGACTCCTGCCGTGGTGACCCCTGCAGCTGCACCGGGGAGGCCCCCTCCAAGGGTACTGCCCCCACCACTTGCGCACAGGCTCCCACTAACAAGCGGAGGAGCCACATTCGCGGTGCTCGTCGCGCAGGACGCAGTTGCATTTATGTCCCATATACATAAATACGAATCATCAGCGCAGGACGAAATTAAATTGTTATCTGCGCCCCACTGAATACCCCACCCCTGGTAGAGGTGACCCTTGAGTGTGTAATCAAAACTGACGACGGCATTATTATTCGCTTCATCCTCTTCATAATTGTAATTACTTAAGTTTAATATATTTATATTTCCGTCAGAGGAGAAGCAGGCAATCACATCCTTGTTTTGGGGACTACAAGCAATTTTGTTAATTTCGCATTCGTGATAAATTTTTTTTTTTATTTTGAAATTTTTACTCGTGTCGTTGCATGTGTTGTGTCGGTAATTGTTTATCTTTTCGTAGTAGAGGTTCGAGTGCGAAAACTCTTCACTCGGCAGGCTCACCTACAGCGGGGAAGGGGCAGCGATGTGACGTGCCCGCAGCAGCGACTGTCGCCGACGCAGCGGACGCTTTTGTCCCTCATGCAGGACAAATCGCGGACAGGCCATTTGAAGAAAAATTGCTTCAAATGTGATGCAATTGGGAATATTTTTCCAAAAGTTTGCGAATCTTTTTTGCCATTTCGTGGGTGCCTTTTCCCTTTTTTACCTCCAGAATCAATATGTAGTTGTTTTTCTCCGTGGTGTAGGTACCCAGGATGAGGTCCTGGTTGTAAACATCATCGTCACACCTAACAGGTTCACAAGGGGGGGGGGAGGACAAGCGGCGCGATGGGTAGATATGGAAAACAAAATGCACTTCGTTAGGATAACACATGGACGCCACGCGCACGCGCGATATCTGCTTGCGACGCAACCTGTGATCATGGCGCTACTCGTAACCTACCTGCACACGCTGGGCACCCACTCGACAAAGAGAGAGGGCCAGTCGCACGTGTACATCATTATCACATTGTAAAGCAGGAGGGTGTTATACTGCCAGTACTTGTGGTTGTCACCACCGGAATTCATGTAGTTGTGTTTTCCTTCCTCATTTTGGTGGTTAAGGTCATTTAGGGCGTTCACGTGGCTCCCCTGCTTTTTCATTTTTTTTTTACCTTCTGGTTGGATCATGTGCGTAAGTGTAGGCAAGTGTGTGTGTGTATACGGAAGTGTGTGCACATGCAGGACTGTTACATAGTTTGTTAGGCGTGCACACTTGCATACACTAGCGGACAAACGGACGATCGGACAAGCGGACACATGAACGAATTTCCCACAAGGATATCATTGGCTAAAGGCTCACATATTATATCACGCATGAAAGGTGAAAATTGAAACAAAAAAATTTATCAATGGAAATACGCAAAGGGAGTAACCATGAGAATAACAAAAGCTAAACAGCTGCGCAAGTGTGGCGTAAGTGCGATGTAGTCGCGTAGCAGCCGCGATGCAGCTGCGACGTAACTGAGGTGCGCGTGTAAAATTAACAAAAGGGAACTCTCCATTTCCTGAAACATTATTCCCTTCATTTCAAACTTCTTCTTTGCTCCTATCACCCTTGGAAAAAAAAAAAAAAAAAAAAAAAAAAAGAAAAGCAATT